ATGTGTGTATGTATGTCTGTGTATATGTGTGTGTGTATGTGGTCTCCCTGTAGCCCCAGCTGTCCTGGAACTCACTATGTAGACCAGGCTGGCCTCGAACTCTCAGAGATCCGCCTGCCTCTGCCTCCCTAGTGCTGGGATTAAAGGCGTGCACCACCATGCCCGGCGATTGCACAGCTTTTTATGCCCCATTCATTCTTTGATTCAGCAGACTTGCCAGGTGCCTCCTCCCTAGTCTGCTTCTCTGTGTGACTGACAGCTGTCGGCTCCTTGAAGCACAAGATCGTCTCACAGGGACGGCGGACATCCCAGTTCTAGTTTCAGCTGTGGTCCTGGCAGGGTCATTAGTCATAAGGTCCCTTCTCCTTTCACAAATGTCTTGTTTTAGGTGAAAAATCAGAGCATTGTTCTAGTTTCCTGCACAGTAGATGCTCAGCAAGTGCTGAGGGGGAAAATACGGATTGACCGGATGGGTGAATGAATCTCGCATGACAGAGATGCCTTCCTCCGAGCACATGTTGACCGGATGGGTGAATGAATCTCGCATGACAGAGATGCCTTCCTCCGAGCACATGTTGAGCTATGCAGAGTTCCTTCCACATCCTGCTCTTCTGCCTTCCAGGGCTTTGTGAAATCCTACAGGCATCTTGCTTGCAAGTAAGATTCTAGTGAGACATATGGCACGCTAAAACAGAACTGTGCAAGCCTATAATTGCAGTGGGAGGCCGAGGCAGAAGGACTGGAAGTGTGAGGCCATCCCTGGCTACATAGTGAGACCCTGTCTCAAGAAAAAAAAATGGGACTGGACAAAAGCATACTTAGTGTTTAACAAGTGCTGGGGCCGGGGGACTTAGTTTACAGAATGCTTGCTAGCATGCACAAAGCCTTGAGCTCAGCTCTCGGCATTGCATGTATGCTGCATGTATGTAATTTCAGTTCTTGGGAGGTGGAGGCAGGAGGATCAGAAGTTCAAGATCATCCTCTGCTGCATAGGGAGTTTGAAGCTGGCCTGTGCTAGAGACCTTGTCTCAGAAAAAAGAAAAAGGAAGGAAGGAAGGAAGGAAGGAAGGAAGGAAGGAAGGAAGGAAGGAAGAAAAGAGATTGGCTGGAGCTGAGGTACAGCTTGGTGGTAGAGCTCTTGTATGACATGTGGAAACCTTGGATTCGATCCCCAGTATCAAAAATGAAAAGAAGAAAAAGAGAATACTCGTCCCTTGGAGCCTCCCCCATTCTTGTGAATTCTTTCTTACTTTTCTTTAATAAATCTATGTTCTCTCTGCAAAAATAAATTAAATAAAGGGGATAAAAAAGGAGGGGCTGCAGAGATGGCTCAGCTTTTAAGAGCCCTTGCTGCTCGTCCAGAGGACCTGAGTTTGCTTCCCAGTACTCATGTGAGGCAGCTTACCACCTCCTGTAACTCCAGTTCCATGGAATCGGAGGCCCTCTTTTGGCCTCCTTGGGCACCTGCACTAATGTGCACATGACCCCAACCCCCACATATACACATAAATAAAAATAAATCTTAAAAAAAAAAAGAAGTCTAGTGTGGTGGTGCACACCTTTAATCCCAGCATTTAGGAGGCAGAGACAGGTGGATCTCTGTGAGATTGAGGCCAGCCTGGTCTACATAGCGAGTTCCAGGCCAGCTGGGGCTACAGGGAGACCCTGTCTCAAAAACTCAAATAAATAAATAAATAAATAAATAAATAAATAAATAAATAAATAAAGAACAAAAAGAAAGAAACAGACTGATTTCCCCTCTTCCATTGCATGTCTGAAGATACATCATTTTCTAGTTCAAACATATTTGTGGAGCATGGATGATGGGCTTGGAATTGCCACGAAGAGGAAACAAAACATCCCTTGGAAAGGCGAAAGTCTTTGAAAATATTTTATTTATTATTTTTATTCTATGTGTATGAATGTATTGCCTGCATGTATATAAGTACACCCGTGTTATGCGATGCCCATGGAGGTCAGACAAAGGAGGATCCCCTGTAACTGGAGTTTCAAATGGGTATTAGCCACCAGGTGGGTGCTGGGAATCGAACCTAGGTTCTCTCCGAGAGCAGCTGGTGCTCTGGCATGTTGGCTGGAGGCTGTGGAGGGTCACCTGGGGCATGACTAGGGCTGTGATCAAAAGGGCCTTAGCTCACAGAGAGTGGCACAGAGATGAAGCAGGCAGGTTGCTCAGATCCAGATTAGACCTTTGCCTTCTGGAAGACCACAACTGACATGACTCACGAGGCAGGTGCAGGAGAATTGCTTCAGCCCAGGAGTTTGAGCTAGCCTGGGCAAGATATGGAATGTGGGGACACACCTACCCCGGATCAAAGCAGAAAAGAGGCTCCTGCTCTAAGAGAGCAAGCCACAGCTGGAGAGATGGGTAAGCAATGTCTCAATGGTGAGGTGGTGATGGCTCTTTCAGCCTAGGCATGTCTTCTCCTGGTGGTCCAGCTGGAGGTCACTGCTTGGTGACCCTTGCTGTGTTTGGTTACCAGTAACTTTGCCATCAGGTTAAAAATTTTTTTATCCTATATGTATCAGTGTTTTGCCTGCATGTGAGTGCACCCATCTATGCAATACCCACAGAGGCCAGAAGAAGGCATTAGAGCTCCTGGAACTGGAGTTATGAATGGTCATAGCCACCATGTGGGTGCTGGGAACCAAATCCAGGTCCTCTGCAGGAGCAGTCAGTGTTTTTAACTGCTGAGCCATCTCTCCAGTCCCTTCCACAGGCTTTTATTTTATTTTTATGTGCATGAATGTATTGTCTGCATGTAGGTAGGTGCACTCATGTTGTGCAATGCCTGAGGAGGTCAGAAGAGGGCATTGGATGCCCTGGAACTGGAGTTACAGATGGTTGTTAACCACCATGTGGGTACTGGGACTCAAACCTAGGTCCTCTGCAAGACCAACCAGTGTGCTTAACTTCTGAGCCATTTCTCTAGCCCCATTCCACAGGTTCTTTAAAAAATTACATTTATTTATTTATACCAGGATGTGTGCATGTGCCACATTGTAGCTGTGGCGGTCAGAGGACAGCTTGTGGAAATCTATTCTCTCCTTCTACCCTCCTGGGGATGGAACTTAGATGACCAGGGTTGGTGACAAGTGGCTTTACCCACTGAGCCATCTTGCCAGCCCTCCATAGGCTCGTGACTGGGCTATGGCATAGCACAGATCTTATCTGGAAGAGTACTGAGAGCAGGAACTGAAACTCCTCTTCCTAGGGACTGCAAGATGACCTTTGGCGTTAAAACACAGAATGAAGTTGTATCCTGGACCTATCTGAGGAAGGGCAGAAGTGAGGGGTCATGTTTTCTCTTTCTACAGAATGGTGGGGTTCACATTTTGACAGTGGGCAGTGGCCACCAGGCCAAAAAGGTCCTCTGTTACCAAGAGAGGCTGGTCCTACGGACAAGGAGGCGGTCATGGTTTAGGCAGGAGGACTTTCTGGAGGAAGAGGGATGATGTGAATTTTTTTTTTTTTTTTTGTCTTTTTGAAACAGGGTCTTCCTGTAGCCCTAGCTGTCCTGGAACTCACTATGTAGACCAGGCTGGCCTTGAACTCAGAGATCTGCCTGCCTCTGCCTCCCAAGTGCTGGGATTAAAGGTGTGCGCCACCACACCTGGCTGATGTGAATTAAAAAAATATATTTTATTATTTTTATGTGTATGAGTATATTGCCTGCATGTATGTGAGTGCACCTGTGTCGTGCAATGCTGCGGAGGTCAGAAGAGGGCTTTGGATTCCCCTGGAACTGGAGTTAAGGACAGTTTGTAGCTGCCATGTGGGCACTGGGAACCGAACCTGGGTCCTCTGCAAGAGCAGTCAGTGCTCTTAACTGCTGAGCCATCTCTCCAGCCCTGATGATGCGAATTTTGTCTCTCTTTTCTGTGTTATAATAGTTAACCTTGGATTCATTATGGCACTCAGACTAGCTGTACTCTGGGGATTTAAGGAGTGTGCTTCCTTGTATAATTAGGGCTCAGCTTGGCAGAGAAGATTCTAGAACTATGCCTTCCAATATATCCAATATGATATACTTTTGGTTAGTGAGCACTTAAGATGTGGCTGTTCTGAAGAAAGATGTGACACAAGTGTACAATACACAGATGTTTTCAAAGACCTACTACAAAAAATGTGAAAATCTCATTAAAAATTTAAGATTTTGATTATATGCTGAAAGGATCATAATTCCTAAATAATTATTGTTAATCTCATTTACGTTTTACATTTTTAAAAATAACGTGGCTGTGAGGGAATTTAAAACTCCATGTGTGCAGCCAAGTGAAGGTGGTACATGCCTGTAATCCTGCACATGAGAAGGCTGAAGCAGGAGGGTTGTAAATTTGAGGCCACTCTGGGATACAAGACTTTGTCTGAAAATAATAATAAAAAAATAACAGGAGCTGGTTCCTGAAATCATACACTTGCTTCTTCCCCTTCCCTGTCCTGCTCCCCCAGTTCTCGGATTGGTTTCTCCTGGATGCACTTTCTTTTATTTTTAAAAAAATATTATTTTTATGTGTATGAGTGTATTGCCTGCATGTAGGTAAGTGCACCCGTGTCGTGCAATGCCCGCGGAGGACAGAAGAGGTGGTTTGATCCCCTAGAACTGGAGTTACGGATAGTTGTTAGCTGCCAAGTGGGTGCTGGGATTCGAACCCGGGTCTTCTGCAAGAACAGTGTTCTTAACTGTTGAGCTGTCTCTCCAGCCCCTGGACGCACTTTCTAACAAATCACTTACTCATCTCAGTCTGCTTCTGGGAACCTCACCATTAAAACACGATCACTTTACTGTGGGTATTGGTTGTGACATTGGGCCAATACCCTACAAACAGCCCTGGGTGTGTAGGCTACCAGGTCCTTGAGATGAGCTTGCCAAGAGCTGGGACTTTGTGTCCAGAACAGCAGGAGCTTCAGAGGCAAGAGTAAGCCGCATCACTTGGGACCCTAGGAAGCTGCAAAGAACATCACACCAGAGCCTCGTAACTTTCCCTTGGACAGTTCATTTTATTGCTCTGTAGTCTGGCTCTTCCCAAACACCTTTCATTCTCCATTAGGCCTTTTGCTAGAAGTTGAGTCTGCCCAGCTCCTGCCGTCTTCATGTCAGTCCCTCGCCCTTCACAGAATATTTCAAAAGCAACATTGAAACAGGAACCCTGCTGTGTTTTGCAACCCAGAAGCATGTTCTAGGCCTATCTTTACAGAAAGTGGGGGCAGGGAAGAGTGAGGAGTCCATGGGGGGCAGAGTGTCCACACTGAGAGGAGTCATACTGGATGGGTAAGTGAGATGGGTTGGTGCAGTGTCTGAGTCCTGGGGTTCCAGAAATTTCAGAAATGACTGACTTAGGCTGGGGAGAGTCTTAGGGCACTCTACAAAGACATGCAGTCTCCATATGGGAGGCACTCACTTCCCCTTAATGTAGACTAGATAAAAATAAAAGCAAGCCACAAAGCCACATTAACCAAACACACTCACATGACAAATACCCTCAGAGAGTTCTGAGTGTTTTCAGCACTCAGGCGGGAGACAGGATTTGGGGCTCTGGCCTTCAAGGGCAGGCACCACTGTCCCCAGAGTGGGGACAACAGCTTCTGAGGCTCTGGGGCCTGATGTGACAGATGGCGCTGTACAAGCCCAGCTGAATGAGAAGGGGTCTGTTTACATAAGCCACATCCCTTTCTCACCAGGGCACTGCCTGGTGCCCTGGATCTAGTGGGTGGCATTTTTAAAGAGCCTCTCACAGTAAGGGCAAATTCTGGCTGTTTAAATGTGGGTTTTGCCTGTAGGGACAGCTTGTGTTTTCAAAGCCCAACACAGTGACTGTTTCTGTAGCATGCAACAAATGTTGATCCCATGACTGAAGATCTTCAGGGTGCTGTTGGCCTAAGAGCGGAAAACAGGATTTGTTTTCATTTGCTTTTTGTTTGTTGAGATAGGAGTTTTGGCTGACCTGAAACTCCTTATGTAGACCAAACTGGCCTTGAGCTCACAGAGATCTGCATGCCTCTGCCTCCCAAGTGCTGGGACTAAAAGCATGTGCCACCACACCTGGCCAAACAGGACATTTTAACCTTTCAAAGAGGAATTATTATTCTCTATGCTCCTGGCCCTAAAGGAGCTTTTTCTAGCTGAGCCTGGGGGAATGAGTTGGGCTATGACCAGATAGAGGGACTTTTGAAAGCACTCTGGGGAATTCACCTCTGAGGCAGCAGCTGACCCAAACTGGTCAGTGAGGATAGAGGTTGGGCCAGTGCCTTTAAGGATTGGGGCTGATGTCTGAGGAGAGACAGGTTGTTTCTCACGTCCTGGGGAGGCCTGAACCTGGCTGGGGGGCAGGATCAGAAATAAGAAAGAGGTGGAAGTGGTGGGAAGAGGGGCCCAGGGACTGACCAGAGAATTGAGGACCAGGCAAGAGAGGATGAATAGCCTTGACTGGGGGCATCTTTATATACTGAACTCTGGCCCACAGATGCTGGTTTGGGGAGAGAACCCTGAACATGGGGGCAGTATGCATCTACAAAGAGTGGAGAACTCTGCTCTGGTAAGATCTGTTTCTGGAAGTTTCTAAGCTGAATGATTGGACCCTCAGGGAGTAGGGACTCAGTGTGCACAGGAAGCCCTGAGCGACTGGGAGGAGGTAAGGAATGGATGACTGGAGGAAGCCACTGGAGGCCCGGGGATGTCAATCTGGGGTCACTGGCCACGTGTTCTACCTTGAACTTCAGTGTGGTGCTGGAGGAGCCAGTGATCCCAGACCTGCCTTTCTTTTCCCCTTCATTCTGATCTGGAAGAGAGACTAAGAGTTCTTAGGGAATGGTCTGACCATATGATTTTTTTGAGTTTTGTTTTTCCTGCCAGGGCTCTGCAGATACTGGCCAATTTTCCAGATATTTTTGCGAGGGACAGTTGGGCTCATGGGGGATGGCTTCAGTGGACACTGAGGCCCTTCCCAGGGACAGCAAAGCACAGGTTCCTCAAATCCCATCCACTTCCTGAAGGTCTCTCAGTGTGGCCACCAGTCAGGGTCAGGCAGGGGAGGGACCTGGGGGCCTGAGAGGCCTGGAGACCCTAAGGAAGGAAGGAGAGCCAGGGCCCTGCTGGTCAGGGCACCATGTGCCACCATTTGAAGGTGAAGGGCTTCCTGTGAACATTTGTACCACAGTGAACTTCCCCCAGAAATTTGTGGTAGGCGGAGATATCATCGATGAAGGTGCAGGTGAGGCCCAGGGGCTCCAGCAGGCCACACACGTGTGTTTCCAGGCAGCACTCCTCCTCCACCTGTGGTCCGAAAGGCTTGGGGATGCCCAGGTCCTTGTTGAGCACAATCATGTTCACCTGGGAGGGAAGCGAGTGTTCAGGGAGCGGTCACCACTTGCCTGCCGGTGCCAAGCCTCTTAGGCCCACATCAGTATCCCACGAAGGAAGAGGTATCAGGATCCATAGGTGGGGAAACTGAGACACAGAGTGAGCTAAGCAATGGGCAGATAGCAAGACTGAAATGGAAAACCAGACTATCAGCCTGTGTGTGCAAGAGCACCCACCTGTGTGTGTTCATGCATGTATGCATGTTTTTCTGCTGTGTGTGCCAAGCTAGCTGGTCTATGAGCTTCCAGGATGTTCCTGCTTCTGTCCCATAAGAGCGATGGGGTTATAGATGCTTATTATACATGTCTGGTTTTTATGTAGGTTCTGGGGACTTAAACTCAAGTCCTCATGTTTGCATGGTAAGTAATTTATCTACTGAGCTACCTCCCCAGCCTTTAAAACAGGTTTATTTATTTATTTTCATTTATGTGTGTGTGTGTGTGTGTGTGTGTGTGTGTGTGTGTGTGTGTCTGACATGTGTGTGCAGGTATCTGAGAAGGCCAGAAGAAGGTGTTAGATTCCTTGCATCTGGAGTTATAGACAGTTCTGACTGCCTGATGTGGGTGCTAGGAACCAAACTTAGGTCCCCTGGAAAAGCAGCAAGCACTCTTAACTGTTCAGCCATCTCTCCTTTCCCAGTTTAAAAAAATTAAAAAAAAAATTTACTTATTTGGGACTGGATTGATGGCTCAGCGGTTAAGAGCATTGACTGCTCTTTTAGAAGACCCAGGTTTGAATCCCAACACCCACATGGTGATTAACAACTCTAGTTCCAGGGGATCCCACACCCTCTTCTGTCCTCTTTGGGCATCGCATGACATGGGTGCACTTACATACATGCAGGCAAAACACTCATACACAGAAAATAAAAATAAAAAAAATTTTTTTTGGTCTTTTTGAGACAGGGTCTCCCTGTAGCCCCAGCTGGCCTGGAACTCACTTTGTAGACCAGGCCGGCCTTGAACTCACAGAGATCTGCCTGCCTCTGCCTCCTGAGTGCTGGGATTAAAGGCGTGTGCCACCATGCCCAGCCAAAATAAAAATAAATTAAAAAAATTAAAGCCAGGCATGGTGGTGCACACCTTTAATCCCAGCACTCGGGAGGCAGAGGCAGGCAGATCTCTGTGAGTTCAAGGCCGGCCTGGTCTACATAGTGAGTTCCAGGCCTGCTGGGGCTACAGGGAGACCCTTTTTTAAAAAGAAAAAAAAAAAAAAAAAAGTTATTTTAGCTGGGTATGGTGGCACATGCCTTTAAATCCTGGGACTGGGGGATGGGGGTGGGCAGAGGCAGGCAGATCTCTGTGAGATAGAGGCCAGTCTGGTCTATATAGTGAGTTCCAGGCCAGCTGGGGCTACAGGGAGACCCTTTCTCAAAAAGACAAGATAAAATTATTTATTTTATATGTATATATGTGCCCGAGTATCTACATGTGCAGCACATGCATGCAGGTGGTTGTGAGCCACCATGTGTGTGCTGGGAACTGAACTCAGGTCCTGTGGAAGAATAACAAGTACTCTTAACCACAGAGTCATCTTTCCAGTGCAAGCCTTTTTTTCATATACACCAGGCTATACTTGAACTTGCTACATATTGAAGATGAATTTGAACTTCTGATCTTGGGATTAAAGGTGTGCACTACCACATCTGGCTTGACGTTGACCTTTTTTCTTTTTTGGTCTTTTTGAAACAGGGTCTCCCTGTAGCCCCAGCAGGCCTGGAACTCACTATGTAGACCAGGCTGGCCTTGAACTCACAGCGATCTCCCTGCCTCTGCCTCCCAAGTGCTGGGACCACAGGTGTGTACCACCATACCTGGCAGATGTTGACCTTTTAAAGCAAAATATTCTCCTACCTGCTATGGCTTCTGAGAATCTCAGTGAGACAATGATGTTAAGCATACCACCCTTCAGAGAGGGCAAGAGACAGTGGTGGGGTCACACAGCCACTCAGCTGTGCCCTTCTAGAGCTGGCTGCCCCTGCTTGGTATGGGATGAGAGAGAGTCAGGGTCTGCAGGGTCTCACCATGTTAGGGAAGAAGGCCCTGGCCTGTCGGTTGTCATCCATCTTGAACAGAGCAGGCAGGTCAATGATGTCCCTCTCAGTCAGTCCCAGCTCCTTCTTGAGAATGTCACGGTTCCAGTCCAGACAACGCTAGGTGAGGGGAAGGAGACAGCATACAGGTCAGGGGACGCATACCTGCCACCTTGCCTGTACTCCAGAGAGACTCCCATGTCTCTCCAGCAGGGCTGAGGTCAGGAGCAATAATGACGGCAACAGGGGAAGGTCAAGGAATAACACCTACAACTGCAGCTTGCTAAGTGCCTACCATGAGCCAGATCCTGGGCCAAGGGCTTCTCACATGGCATCTTACCCGTCCTGCAGGCCAACCCTAAAACTGATGAGGATTTGCTGATAGTGATGGGAAGTAAGCTTGGTGCCTGGCTCCCATCCTACTATGTATACAGGTTTCCAACTTTGGGCCACACTGCCATTTATTATCTCTTATATTTTTTCAATGTACATTTCTTTTTATAAATTTATTATTATTATTATTATTATTATTTTTGGTCTTTTTGAGACAGGGTCTCCCTGTAGCCCCAGCTCTCCTGGAACTCACTATGTAGACCAGGCTGGCCTTGAACTCACAGAGATCCACCTGCCTCTGCCCCCTGAGTGCTGGGATTAAAGGCGTGTGCCACCACTCCCGGCTTTATTATTTTTATTTTTTATGTGTATGCGTGTATTGCCTGCATGTAGGTAATAGCACCTGTGTCGTGCAATGCCCATGGAGGACAGAAGAGGCTGTCAGATCCCCTGGAACTGGAGTTATGGACAGTTGTTAGCTGCCATATGGGTGCTGGGATTCAAACCTGGGTCTTCTGCAAGAACAACCAGTGTTCTTAACCGCTGAGCCATCTCCCCAGCCCCTCAATGTATATTTCTTTGTGTGTGTGTGTGTGTGTGTGTGTGTGTATAGCACATGGGTGCCATGGAGCATGTGTGGAGGTTGGAGGACAACTTGCAGGAGTCAGTTCTCTCCTTCCATGATGTGGGTCCTGGGGATTGAATTCAGGTCATCAGGATTGGTAGTAAGTGCCTTTACCTGCTAAGCCATCTCGCCAGGCCCCGAGTCCTTAGTGAGTTACCCAGGCTCCTACTGCTAAAAGCAGGGGTGTCAGTGAGACCTCAGTTCCCCCCTGATGCTGAGTCATGATTGTAAGAAATAAGAAACAAGGGTCCATTTTCAAAGGTATCTTGAGGCTCAGCTACAAACAGAAAACACCAGACCCCTGCTAATACCTGCTAGTCTAGCTATTTCCCACCCCCAGCTCTACTAATCCAGCCACCAACCCTCCAAACCAAAGGTTTACAGTAGGAAATTACTAATATCGCAGATTGCCTAACAACAGACAGATGTAACAATGTCATTTGCAACAAGGATGTAAAACACAGAGATGAAAAATGAAAAAATGCATGGTCTTTGTTAAAAAAACAGACAAATGTAGCAGGGCGTGGTGGCGCATACCTTTAATCCCAGCACTTGGGAGGCAGAGGCAGGCGGATCTCTGTGAGTTCGAGGCCAGCCTGGTCTACAAAGTGAGTTCCAGGCCAGCTGGGGCTACAGGGAGACCCTGTCTCAGAAAGACCAAAAAAAAAAAAACAAAAAACAAAAAACAAATGTAAGTGGCTGAGGGAAAGATATGTCTTAAATGACGTGTGGGGCTCTACCCTCCTGATTGCTCAGCCAGTGAGTAAAAGGAGGCAGGGGCTTGCATTAGGGTTATAAAAACTGTTTGGGCAGTGGCTTACCAGGCTGCAGACCTGTAGCTTTGTAAGTCTGCCTGCTTTTCTATTCTCCAGCAAACTGTAGCCTCTCCTGGTTTCTTTTTATCTCTTTTCTAAGCATGCTCTCCCTAACACTTTGGGGTTCCCCGACATTTTGGGTTTCCTTCCTCCTTCTCTAAAGCTCCCTTTCTGCCATGTGGCAGCTGGTCCTTCATGTGTCTGACCTCGGGCATGACTGTGGCTTTCTCCTTTTCCCTTCCCTCACCTCCTCCAGGCAGCTCCTGAGATTTACAGCTTGCATGCCTTGAGGGCTTTTCTTTTAAACTCTCATAAAATTGTCCTTGAACTTACAAACAAACAAAACCCAAAACCTGTTCTGTGCTCAATTAGTGTATCCATCGTTCTGCACCTGGCTTTGCAAAAATCATTAACTAAACTGTCTCACTCTGGCTACTCAGTAGACCCCGGCGCTCTTGTTAGGAAGCGGGAGTCTGTTTCTCACAGTGATCATGAAGGGACATCATAGGTCACACAGGAGCAGCCAGTGAGGGCCTAGCTCAGCTGCAGTGGGAATTCACAGAACCTACTGCAGCTTCTGCAGTGCTCAGATTAAAGGTCTGTACCACCACGGATCTGGTGAAGTGCAAGCTCTTGTTTAAGTGTTGGGGGCATCTAATCGCTCTCTCTTTGTGGGTGCTGTGCTGTGTTTATGTGAGGCCTAGAACTTCTGCAGCCATGCTCCTGCCACAAGGAACCTGCAGGGACCACAAATCATAGAAGAGACTCTGAAGCCTTGATCAGCCTGTGCCTGAAATCCACACCACTGCTGGACTTTGCACTCTAATAAGCCAAACAGGCCTTCTTTAAATCAGTTCTGCTTTTTAAAAAGACTTGACCCTTTAAGACAGGCTCATGGAAATGAATGACTGTTTTCTATCTCTCTTTATCTCTTCCCTCTCTCCCTCTCTCCCTCCTTTCCTTCCTTTTTTCTTTTAATACAGAGCCTCATGTAGCCTAGGCTAGCCTTGAACTCAATCTGCAGCTGAGAACGACCCTGAACTTCTGATTCTCCTACCTCAACTTCCAGAGTGCTGGGATTACAGGTCTGCACCACCATGACCAGTTTTATGTAATGCTGGGGATCAAACCCAGGGATTCATGCATGCTAGGTGAACTACATCTCTAGCTCTGGTTTCTATTTCTGGTGCAACTTCTGAGGCTCAGAGACTCAGAATGGCTGCTCCATGTACTGACTTAACCCTTTAGAGATCTGTGAGATCCTAAAACTCAAAGGTTAGGGCACCAGCTTGTGTAAACATTTTCATGGACTGCACATCTGTAGCTTTTGTTTTAAAGGGTACATCTCCCCAGAGCAACGCAGGCTGTCATGAAACAGAACTCTCAGTGCTTTGGAAGAACAACAGCTTTCCAGCTCTCCTGTTTGCTTCTCTGTAGAAGAGTTGAGAATTCTGTGAGCCCTTTGCCCTTCGTCATTAGCAAGCAGACACATCAGATGTTGGTTAGGGCCCCTCTGGTGCTGATGCACTCTGGGCCAGAAGTCCTGAGCCCCTGGCTGTTAGTCACAGAACCCTGAGACAGGGTATGTGTAGCTGGTCCCTCCCAGGCCCTAGGCCTGTCCATACCTGGAAGTACAGGTTCTCCTGTATGAGGCTCTCATTGGACAGGATCTTGTTGATGGTGATCCGCTTGCCGCTCATGCCCCCCAAGCCTGTGGGGATCAGAGGGTGACAGTCAAAGCTCAGCTACCTGGCTGGGTGCTCTGTCTGGGCTTACTGCTGGCTGGGGTAGGGTCAGGGTTCTGGGGCCAGGCTGGGGTTGAGGGGAGGAGGCTCCTCTGCCTGGGGAGGGCAGTGCATACTCTTTTTCCCCTGTCCATCATGTCTCCTGAACCAGGAAGGAAGCACTGGCATCTTGTTCTCTCTTTGGTTGATAGGGAGTAGTTGGCTTGGGTCCCCCATCTACAGCCTACTCCTAAACACCAGCAATTGACAAGGGAGAGACACCCTTCTGAGAGTGCTCCACAGAGGGCTTGACTTTGCATCCCTCTTCACAAACAGCCCACTGATTAGTGACACCTAACACGAGCATCTGCTGCTTTTCCTTCCTTATTTCCTTCCTTCCTTCCTTTCATTCCTCCCTCCCCTCCCTCCCTCCCTCCCTCCCTCCCTCCTTCCCTCCCTGCCCTGGCCCTGGGGTTGGAACCCAAAGCCTCCCATACACCAGGCAAGCCCTCTGCCACTGAACCAGGTCTCCAGTTCAGGTAGGCATTCCTTTAAATGCTTTATGTGGATGAACTCAGGAGTACCCCCCGCCCTCCATTCTTGAGATAGCTGCTGCTGTTAAAGATGAGGAAACTGAGACACAGATGTGCCATGACTCCTACAAGGTCCCCCACACCACAAGTGGTCAAGAGTACTGCAGGCCTGTGTTCTTCATTCATTTGTTAAGAGCACTCACTGGTCTTGCAGAGGACCTGGTTTCAGTTCCCAGCACCCACATGGTGACTCACAACCACTTGTAACTCTAATTCCAGGAGATCTGATGCCCTCTTCTGACCTCCATGGGTATTGCACACATGTGGTGCACATAAACTCACACAAGTACACACACAGAAATACACATAAATAAAAAACAAAAACAAAAAATTTTCTTTTTTTTTGATCTTTTTGAGACAGGGTCTCTCTGTAGCCCCAGCTGGCCTAGAACTCACCATGTAGACCACGCTGGCGTCAAATTCACAGAAATCCCTGTGCCTCTGTCTCCCAAGTGCTGGGATTAAAGGCGTGAACCACCATGCCTGGATCTTTTTCATTTTTTTAGATAGGTTCTCTCTATGGAGTGTGGGTAGGTCTGGAACCTGTAGCCTTCCTGTCTCAGCCTCCTGGGTGCTGGGACCACAGGTATGCACACCTGTTATCTTTGATTTTTGCCTGATCTAGGAAAAGCTGTACATCCCAGGCATGGAGCTCAACAGTAGCAAAGATCTCAGGATTGTGAGACCCTGACCCTGAGCTGCGACCACCTGCTGCTCACCTTATTAACACAGATAATCATGGTTCCTGGATTGTGATGGCAACATTTAGGGCAAATTTAACATAAAAAGGAAGCCTCCAGAAAGCCAAGCCTCAGGCCTGCCAACCCAGGAAGAGAGTTCCCATAGGAAGAAAAGCATAAAAGGACAGCTATCTTAGCCAAGTATGGTGCCGCACGCCTTTAATCCCAGCACTGAGGAGGCAGAGGCAGGAGGATCTCTTTGAGTTTAAGGCCAGCCTAGTCTACATAGGTTCCAGGACAGCTGGGGCTATAGGGAGACCCTGTCTCAAAAACACAAAAATCCAAACAGAAAAAGGACAGCTGTCGTAAATTGGTCTGTGGCCATCAGAGACAGTCAGGAATACTCTTCAGATGTGGAGGACAGTAACTAACCATTAACCAGTCCTGGGGTCACAGGCAAGGAGTGTCGGATCCCTTAAGAAGTAGCAAAAAAGTAATTTAAGAAAAAAGAAAAATAATCTAATGGGATAAGACTGATGATTGCTAGTCAATGCTGTAAATACACTGGACTTAGAGGTGGTGAAGATGTCATCTATTTTTACCACAGTGGGAGAGAGCAGCAGGCCCGGTGGCCTTGCTCACCCTACTGGAGGCTCCCCCAGCTGCTTCTCTTTCTCATGATTAATTCAAGCTCAGAACAACTCATGGCTGGCTGTCCCATTTAGCAGGCAGATCTAGTCTCACTCCAGACCCCAGGCAAGATGTTAGCGTAAGACTCTTCTCTTCCTGCCTCCAGTATCAGCGCTGATCCCTATCTAGGCCTCTGGAGGGTGTGTGTGTGTGTGTGTATGTGTATGAGATATGGCCCTAGGATCCCTAGGTAAATCAAAACAAACCCTTTTGAAAACACAAGCTCCTGGGTGCAGATACACATGCCACTTTAGGGTCCTTTAGCTCCATCTGGGTCTGGCCCTTCCAAATACTAGCTCCAAAGACATACTTTTGCACATTAAAAAAATTTTATTTATCATTCATTTTTATTTTATGTGTATTACTGCCTGAATGTATGTAAGTGCACCCATATTGCGCAATGCCCTCAGAGGTCAGAAGAGGGCATCAGATCCCTTGGAACTGGAGTTACAGACTGTTGTTACCTGCCATGTGGATGTGGGGAACCAAACCCAGGTCCTCTGCAGAGCAGCCAGTGCTCTTTACTGCTGAGCCATCTCTCTAGCCTCACATTTTTTTTTTTTTGAGACAGTTTCATGACATTGAACTTCTGATTCTATTGTCTTCACCTCCAGAGTGCTGGGATTATAGGCATGGACCACTATATCCAGCTTTATGTGGTGCTGGGATCGAACCCAGGGCTTCGTGCATGCTAGGCAGGCACTCTACCAACTAAGCCACATTCCCAGCCATGTACAGTTGGCAGTAAGCAGCAGCCAGGGCTGTTTCCCACCAGAGTGGCCTCACAGAGCCCAGGGTGGTAGAACTGGGTGCTCACGACAAGGGTTCCTCTGGGGCTGCCTGTCAGGGACCTGTGACCACTCACCCTTGAACATGATGGCCTCCCCATGGCCTTCTTTCTGCTTCTCCCGGAAGAGCTTGTAGCAGGCCGAGGTGCTGGCCATGAGCAATCGAAATCCCTGCAAGAAATGTCCAGCGGCATAGGGTCATTAGGGGAAGGCACCAGAGAGACAGATGGACAGGACCCTGGCCGGGCAGCACCTCATGCCTCCCATGCCAGGTGCGGCTGGCTCCTGGTAGGGTCTTTCTGTCCCACAGAACTGTGTTTCACCCTTTTTTCATCTCAGCAGCATCTTCAGGTCACAGTAGGGTCAAAAGTGGCCTTGTGGGGCTGGAGAGATGGCTCAGGGGTTAAGAGCACTGGCACTGAACTAGGTTTGGTTCCCAGCACCCACATGGTAGCGAACAATTGTCCATAACTCCAGTTCCAGGGGAATCTGACACCCTCTTCTGATCTCCCTGGGTACTGTACAACATGGATGCACTTACATATATGCAGGCAATACCCTCATACACATAAAATTAAAAAATAATAAAATATTTTTTAAAAAGTGGCCTTGGGGGGCTGGAGAGATGGCTCACTGGCTAAGAGCATTGGCTGCTCTTCCAGAGGCTCTGGGTTCAGTTCCCAGCACCCACATGGCAGCTAAGACTGTAACTCCAGTTCCAGGGGATCCAACGCCCTCTTCTGACCTCCACAGGCATTGTATGACACAAGTGCACTTACATAAATGCAGGTAAAATACTCATACACATAAAAATAAAAATAAACACATTTTTAAAAAGTGGCCTTGGGGGCTGGAAAGATGGTTCAGTGGTTAAGAACACTGACTACTTTTGCAGAAGTCCCGGGTTTGAATCCTAGTACCCACATGGCAACTAACAACTGTCCATAACTCCAGTTCCAGGGGATCTGACAGCCTCTTCTGCCTTCTGTGGGCATTGCACAACATGGGTGCACTTACCTACATGCAGGCAACACACACATGTGCATAACATAAAAATAATAAATAAAATATTTTTTAAAAAGTGGACTTGGAGAGCAGGAAGGACTCCTAGAGGCCAGGCCATTTGCAAAAAATTTCTAAGGAACACAGTGGCAACCATTTCTTCACCCCCACGCCCACCCCAGAGCCTTAGGCCCAACCTGGAATGTTTTGGCCAATTAGCCCTTAGCCCTGTGTGACTGCTGAGCCCTTGAACTGCATCTAGTCCAAGCTGAGATGTAACTGAAATATGAAGACTTGGTGTGAAAAAAGAATGGAAAGCAATAATTTTCACACTGGGCTGGGGGGTGGCTCCGTTAGCAAAGTGCTAGTTGTGCAAGCATGAGGACCTGGGTTTGGATCCCCAGCACCTGTAAAAAGAAAAAGTCTGACACTACAGCTGTAATCCCAGCACAGGGTGGGGGGGCGGTGAGGGAGGGGGCGGTGGGGAGACAGAAACAAGAAGGTCCCTGGAGTTCACTGGCCAGCTGACCCAGTCAATTGGTGAATTCCAGGTTTTGTCAGTGATTCGAAAAATAGGATGGAGATGGGTGTGGTGGTGTGCACTTTTAGTCCCAGCGCTTGGGAGACAGAGTCAGGCAGATCTCTGTGAGACGCCAGCCTGGTTTACTTAGGGAGCTCCAGGCCAGCTGGGGCTACAGGGAGTCCCTGTCTCAAAAAGACAAACAAAACAAAAAACCAACCCCAAACAAAAACAAAAAACCTGACATCAACCTCTTATCTATACACACACACACACACACACACACACACACACACACTAACATAAGCTTTCATATTGCTTACATATTGAAATACTAGTATTTTGGATTTGTTGGATTGGAAATTTGCCTACCCCAAGTCCCTAAATACAAGCCAACCTCAGCCTACTTCCTTCTTCCTCTACACCAAGTCTCCTCTAGATCCCACCCCCTTCTGGCAAGGCCTGGTAGTGCAAGCATTCTGCACTATGCTATTTATGCTGGTGTTGGGGACTAGCTCACCTTTGTGCCAGGGATGGGGATGAAGGTCATGAACTCATCTACGTGGCCAACAGTTAGCCAGTCAGAGTAGAGCTCGACGGGTGCCTGCACCTGCTGGGCCTTCAGGAAGTCACGCACCACCTTGGTCATCCTCCGGCCGCCAGACCTAGGGCAAGGTTGGAGAAGAGCGTTACAGCAGGCCACCCCACCTGCTGCTGCACCACAGCAGGCTGAGGTATTCGGTGTCTGGAACCCAGACCAGACCACGGTGACACCAGCAGAGTCACAGATGGGAGCCTGAGCCTGCAGGGCTGATGAGACCCTGGTATAGGCAGAAAGGTACTGGAGCCCAAGGGGGACAAAGGTGCATCAGCCATGGCCACAGCTATGTGGAGGGCCTAGCGCAGCCTTTGGCTACGGGGGCTGCCAGTTTCTGTGTTCAGAAGCCTGGACTGCTGAGGGGACAGGAATGGCTCCAGAGTGTGCCCGAGCCATCACCTTTTTGTTACACTAACTTCCGCTCAGTTTAATCTTTCATCGGTTCAAGAGACACCTCCAGAGGCTAGAAAGCTGGCTCAGTGGTGAAGAGCACTGGCTGCTCTTGCAGAGGACCTGGGCTCCATTCCCAGCACCCACATGGTAGCTAACAGCCATCTGTAACTTCAGTTCCGGGGGATCTGACGCCCTCTTCTGGCCTTTGTGGGTAATGTACACATGTGGTGCACTTACATACATGCAGATAAAACACTCATACACATTAGTGTATGAGAGAGAGAGAGAGAGAGCTCTTCCAGGAAGCCCTTTCCAACTTCTCGAATGCCAGAGGCCTTTGCCTTTGGGTCTTTGTTCTTGCTGATCCTCCTGCTTAGAGAACCTTGCCCTCCAAACTGCCTATCACTACCTCTTCCTTAACACCTTGACTCTAGAGTCTCTGCCTCAAACTCACAGGTGCTAAAGGGCCTCATACCCATCACTATTCATCATGACACCCTATTTTATCTTTGGGAATTTTACTGGCATCAGGATGACTTCTCCACTTACTCCCATGAGCACTATCTGTACTCCCAACCCCACTAGAAACAAACTGTGACTCTGAATTCTGGTCAGTGTCGTATTTCAAGTCTAGAACAGTGCCTGGCACTGTGTGTGTGTGTGTGTGTATGTGTGTGTCTATACACATAAATGCAGTACTCACAGATGCCAGAAGAAAGTGTCGGACGCCATAGAACAGGTGATTGTGAACCCAATGTGGGTGCTGGAAACTGAACTACTAGGGCCCTCCGCAAGAACAGCAAATATTTTAACCACCGAGCCATCTCTCTAGCATACCTATCTATATCTATATATCCTCTCTCCACTCTCTCCATATACATACACATACATATATATATAGTCCCTCAGTTTAGTCAGGACTATTCACATGTCTGTGATCACCATCTCCTTGAAGGCAAGGCCAGGGCATTGACTGAAGTGAAGTCAGGAAATAGGGACTGAGTGGATGTGGATGAGTAACTACTGAGTGGGGGCAAAGAGGAGGAGGGTAGGCTGATGGTCACTGCCCATGTCCCTTGATGGTAGTGTATCCCATGTGTGTCAGAGGGACTTGGTACTTAAATCCTGGGTGATCTTACACATTCAGGCTCCAGTAGTCCCTTTGTGAACCGAGTACCGGAGCAGCTCTCTCTCTCCCTAGCAACTGCTTGGATCAAAGTAGAATTTGCCTTGTCATTGGCTGGTAGTGGCTTTGTGGACAGGTAAAGGGGCCAGGGATTCATGACAGGAGGCAGGGCCATGCCTTGCCAATCCTTTTTCATCATGGGCAATGTGCTCTTTATTCTCCCACTCATCCTCTGCCAGTTCCTTCCCTAGACTCCTGCACTGTGTCCCTACCTGGTCTAAACCTCATGATACACCCTCCCATTTGGAGAAGAGTCTATGTATTAGATCTAAGATGTAAAGGCTAACTTGGTTTCTTTCCATGAGCATCTATAGATTTACAAAGCATTGTGGTGGGAGATATTTGTCCCATACATTCACTGAAGGTATGAACACCCCAGGCCACCCAAGAAGAGACAGTCACGAGCCAGGTGTGGTAGTGCACACCTTTAATCCTAGGATTCACAGGAGGACCTCTGTGAATTCAAGACCAGTCAGGGCTACATAGTAAAACCCTGTCAAAACAAACAACAAACAAACCCCCAAACAACAACAAAACCCCAAAACAAAACAAATAGACAATCATACTCTCTGCCCACTGCCCCCATCCATACCCTGGCTTTGCTTACAGAGGAAAACTGCTCCCGATGAGGATCCGGCCAAGGGGGTATGCCTTGCCATTGACGGTCACTGGGGGACTGACTTCCAGGTTCCCGAAGGAATCGAGGCTGGTGATAGTCTCAAAGAGAGGGTCCCGGGTCACGTAGCCAAAATCTGGGCCCTGGGCAGAGAGAGTTACACATCTGCTTCAGCCTCCTGTACCTAGGAATCCTCTCTCTGCCCCTGTGGCCAGCTCTGATGACAACCCCTCTGTCATCTACAGCCTGATGGACCCTCTGGACCCAGCCTCTAGGACGATGAATAGAGGCTGCAGTATTTCCGTTGGGGTCTGGCTGTGTGGAAGCTGAGTCTGATAATCCTTAAAGGAGGAAGGGTGTGTGTATGTGTGTGTGTGTGTATGTGTATGTGTGTGTGTGTGTGTGTGTGATATGTATATGTGCATCTGGGTCTCTGCCTGGGCTTCTTTCCCCCAGACATAATGCACAGTGTGGTTTCAAGACCTGGCCTCATGCTTCCTGCCCCTGACTGAACTTCCCTGACCCTCCGTTTCCCTTTCTGCGGGCGAGATTTCAAATTAGGAGGAGGCAGGGTAGTAAGTTACTCCCAGGAAGAGAATTTTGAGGTTTTTTTTTTTTTGGTCTTTTTGAGACAGGGTCTCCCTGTAGTTGTCCTGGAACTCACTATGTAGACCAGGCTGGCCTTGAACTCACAGAGATCTGCCTGCCTCTGCCTCCCAAGTGCTGGGACTAAAGTCGTGCGCCACCACGCCCAGCCGAGAATTTTGATTTTTATATCCTGACCCAATGCAGTGATTTCTGCCACCTCCTGGAAAAAGAACTCAGGGTCACATGACTGGCTCTGGCTTATGGACTAGGAGAAGGAGGAGGTGGTAGGATCCTGCAGAACCTAGGCGTGTGTCACCACTTTCCCTCCTTCCTGGGCCAGGGGAGTGACATTTCTCAGCTGGGCTGTAGTCCTGATTGAGGCTCTAGAATGAGAAAGGAGGACCCCAGCGGACCAGCCATCCGTCAACCCTGGAATGTGAACAGCAGGAGAGCCTGGCTGCTGACAACCACTGAGGTTTGCAGCTTGTTTGTCACTGCAGCTTTACCTAGTGACACCTGACAGATACACTCACCCCAACCCATACCAACAACCACATCTGCCCACTGGGCCCAGAAACAGTCATCTCTGCATCCCTCTCTGTATAGAGCTCCTGAGAACTGGACTTCGTACACATGGAGGGGAGACCCCACTCCATCCTCTGGATCTTAGATTCCTTTCATGACTTTTTAAAGTCTAGGGATCTTGTTTGAGAGTTTGTACTAGAGCAGGGCTTAACTTGCTTGACAAGAGCCCCTGTTTAAAGAGCTCTGTGTTGGGGCTGGAGAGATGGCTCAGCACTTAAGAGCACTGGCTGCTCTTGTGGAGGGCCTGGGTTTGATTCCCAGCACCCACATGGTGGCTAACAGCTGATCATGACTCCAGTTCCAGGGGATTTGATGTCCTCTTCTGACCTCTGTTGGCACTGCATGACACGGGTGCTTTTATATACATGTGGGCAATATACTCAGACACAACATAAAAAATAAAATAAAAAATAAAAACAAAAAGCTCTGTGTTGCGGGCACATGTCGTGTATGCTGGCTCAGCTTACAAGCTCAGGGGCCAGGCACGCCCGGTGGGGTGGTGGTAGCAGCTTAGCACTTTCTTCCCTGGGGGCCCAGTTGGCCATGTGTGAGCCGGCCACAGGTGGCCAGAGGCTGGCAGCTAGGGTTTTACTGCATCACACAAGCTGGCAGGCATGCAGCACAAAGTCAGGCCTGGCCCAGCCTCTGGGAATAATGCAGACTGCATCTGGAACCAGGCCAGCCTGGAGCACTGAAGGCAGGTGGAGGCTGGGGGAAGAGACAGGCCTGGGAGCTTGACTTTTATGCCTGTTGCCCATGGCAACCCTGGGGATGGTCAGTTTAATTGCCTTCTCTCCTAGTGTCTAGGCAAGTGGCAGTATCCTCACAGAGGGCCACCAAAGGCAACCTTCAGGGCTGGGGCCATAAAACCAGAGCATGATGGCCATGGTCAGGCACAGCATTGGTGCCTTTGACATGCTTTTGATTGGTAACAATCCTGGGAGACTATGTCTCCCCATTTTACAGAGGAGTAAACTGAGGCTCATGCAGGTTAAGTAGCTTGCCTAAGGTCCTCTTTCTGATACAGAACTGATGTTCACGACCACGCTTCTCTGTCATCCCAGAGCTGGGCTTCCCCACTGGCTCTGCCATCTTCCCAGAGGGGATTTAGGGGAGCTAATTAATGGCTGTGAACCTGGCATGGGGTCACCTCTGAATAGCCTGACATCTACAGGGGAGCCTGTCCTGAATTTTAACTTGGCTCCTGTCCTACCTGCCTCTGTACAGTGTTTTGCACGGACCCCTGGCTCAGGGCAAATCGTAAGAACACAGAAATTTCAGTCCCACCCCTCATGTGGTGGTTGAAGCCATAAAGCAGGAGCAACAATGGCTGTGGAATTGAGGCATCAGGCTGCTTTATACTAAACCCCACTGTGCTGAGATCCACAGCCTCCAAGTTAAGAGCCATGAGCTCTGACAACTGCAGACCTCCATCCTGCCTCTTTGGCTACAAGTTGGAGGGGCAGGGCAGCAGCAGGGGTCAGGGCCTGTGAAACTCCATATTATTTCTCCATATTATGGGAATGTATCCAACCTCAGAGGCCATTGACCCATCTTTCGGATAAGAAAAAGGCCCCAGGCAGCAGACCAGTTAACCTAGGATGCCCGACATGTCCTGAGCACTCTGTCCTTTAAGAGTCCCCAGTGTCACCCCCAGGTGGTCCTCGGCATCTCACCAGGAGCTGCTTAATGGGGAAGTCCTTCAGTTCTCCATCTCGAGGGGAGTCCAGCACCACCGGGAAGCCTTTGTGGGGGGCCTCGATGTAGCCAAACTCAATTTCATCCTGTGGGGCATCAGGGAAGGCTGTCAGCCACACTGAGGGGTGCGTGAGACATGATGGATGGGGCTTGGGAATGGGAAGGTTATTTGTTTACTGACAAAATGTACAAATGAGCAGGCCTGGTGGTGCACACCTTTGATCCCAGCACTCCAGAGGAAGACAGAAACTCTCTGAGAGTTTGAGGCACTGGAAAAATTTGAGTTGGTCTAAAACATGTTAACAAGTGGGCTGGCTGGTGAGATGGCTCAGTGGGTAAGGGTGCTTGTGCTAAACCTAAGTCCCTGGGACTCACATGGTAGAAGGAGAGAAACTGCAAGGTGTCCTCTGACCTCCTACATACATTGGCTGTCAGCACTCCCCTTCTCCACATAATAAATAAATGTAGTAAAAAATATTTAAAACAAAAGAAATGAGCTCAGAGTGGGAAGTTTGCCTCCCTCACAGCTCCACAGGCTGCCTCTGGTTCCCAGTTCTCCTTAGAAGCAAATGATGGTAGTAAATCTTTTCATAGGTCATCTCTGTCAGTCACAAGAGTATTCTTAGAGACACTGACCTCATTTTAACAACACAAATAGCAATATACTGAATATATTTTCTTTCAAGTAACAACTCGATATGAAGGGTATGTCACCGACTGGCCTCGTTCTTTTTACTTTAAAGATTTATTTATGTGTATGAGTGTTTTGCCTGCATGTATGTTTATGTATCACATGTGTGCAGTGCCCACTGAGGTCAAAAGAGGGCGCCAGGTCCCCTGGAACTGGAGTTACAAATGGTTGTTAGCTACCAGGTGGGTGCTGGGAACCAAACCCAGATCCTCTGCAAGAATAGCCAGTGCTCTTAACCACTGAGCCACCTCTCCAGTCCCAAATGGCCTTGTTTCTTTTAGCGATCACAGGGTATTCCTTCATAAGGCCATCACCAGGGCTCTATGCATGAACATGGAAGTGGTTTCTGTCATTAGAAGCTGTAGGGGCTATATTGTTCATGGTGCACATGTGCAGGTGTGAGCAGACAGAAGAGTCCCCACACTCGGGCAGCTGGGTACAGGGTGCTCACAGCAAGCCAGCCCTTCCGTCCAGAGCCCTTGCCGTGTCCTTCCCCTGGGTCTCCCTCACCTGGATCCAGCGGTCTCCGCGGTTCATATACTGGAAGCAGACCTTCAGCTCACAGTTGGTTTTTTCCACCAGGTTCTTCACCTCTTTCAGGAATAGGTAATTGTCCTTCATGCTGAGGAGTGTGGGGAAGAGGAGGCAGGGAAGAAGCGGGGCAAGGGTCACCCCTCTTGGACGGTGGCAGCTTCTAGTTCCTCTGGACTGAGTTGTGCATATGAGGCCACCTCTGTGTTCACAACTACCTTTTTTTTTTAAAATACTTTATTTTTTATTTTTATTTTTTTATGTATGAGTGTATTGCCTGCATGTATGTGAGGGCACCCATGTAGTGCAATGCCATGGAGGCCAGAAGACGGCTTTGGATTCCCCTGGAACTGGAGTTAAGGATGGTTCGTAGCTGCCATGTGGGTGCTGGGATTCGAACCTGGGACTTCTGCAATAACAGCCAGTGCTCTTAACTGTTGAGCTATTGCTCCAGCCCCCTCCTCAGATTTTAGAATGAGCTATGCCTGGCATGATGGCTGGAGACAGGGAGTGTGTCCCCCTGGGGTTGCCAGTCATACACGTGCAGACACTTTTTCCTCTTACAGCTCACCTTGTTGTGACTAACCTAGCACATAATAGACACTCAATAAAAATTTTGCTTAATGAGTAAGGGAAATGAGGTGTACCACTGCCTAGCAGTGAGCCATGCACAGTAGAGGGCTGAGAGTGAGGAGAGAAAGGAGAGGTATGGTTTTAGAACATAGACCCTGAGCCAGGATAATGCCTGGGCAGGGGCTCTATCTGCATCATCGCAGTCCTCACAGGTTCGCGCATTTCAGAGAAACTGAGGGCAGAGAGGCTACATGCATCATTCCAGGCCACACAGCTGCCAAGTAGCAGAGGCAGGAACTGAATGAACTGAGTTCAGGTGTCCGATCCTGAAGCCCAGCCCTTGGCTACCCCGCCATGTTGCCTGTGTGGACTGTGGCCACCCCTTACCAGCACACGAACACTGACACAGGAGGCAGGATGTTGGGGGTCATGATCCACGGTGCAATCCGGAACATCACGGTGTCTGTGAAGATGGGTGTCAGGGGAATCCCCTGTGTGGGGGAGAGAAGAGCAGAGTCACGTTGGGGTGCCAGGGTGCTTGCCACTCCTGCCTCAAGAGGTGGGTGACACTGATAACAATACTACATTTATTGGGCACTTATTGTATACTAGGCATTGTGCCAAGTAGTTTTTAAAACTTTTTAAATTTTGGGGGCTGGAGAGATGGTTCAGCGGTTAAGAACACTGGTTGTTCTTGCAGAAGATCTGGGTTCAAATCCCAGCACCCACATGGCAGCTAACAACTGCCCGTAACGCCAGTCCCAGGGGATCTGACAGCCTCTACTGTCCTCTGTGGGCATTGCATGACATGGGTGCACTTACCTACATGCAGGCAATACACAAATACACATAAAATAAAAATAATAAACAAAGCTGGGTGTGGTGGCACATGCCTTTAATCCCAGCACTTGGGAAGCAGAGGCAGGTGGATCTTTGTGAGTTTGAGGCCAGCCTGGTCTACATAGTGAGTTCCAGGACATCTGGGGCTACAGGAAGACCCTGTCTTGAAAAGACCAATAAATAAATAAATAAATAAATAAATATTTTTAAAAATTAAAAAAAATTTATTATATGTGTACGAGTGTTTTGCTTGCATGTATATAAGTACACCATGTATGTGCAGTGCCTGCAAAGGCCAGATCCTCTGGAATTGGAGTTATGGATAGTTGTTAACTGCCATGTGGAACCTGAGTCCTCTGTAAAAGCAGTCAGTGCTCTTAATCATTAAACCCGCTCTCATGCTCCCTAAATATTTTTTAAGAAGATTTGTTTTATTTTTATTATTTATTTGTGTGTATGTATCTGTGTGTCTGTGTATCTATGCATGTGTGTATGCATGTGTGTGTGTGGGGGGGGTGTGTATACAGGTGCCCGCAGGGGCTAGAAGAGATCATCAGATCCCGTGGAGATGGAGTTACAGATGGTTCTGAGCCACCATATGGGTGTTGGGAACTGAACTCAGGTCCTCTGAAAGAGCAACAAAGCACTCTTAACTGCTGACTCATCTCTCCAGCCCCATATGCCAAGTGTTTTCGCATGCAGCAGATCATTCTCAGGGAATAGATTCCTTACTTTTCAGAGAGAGAAACTGAGTCACAGAAGTGTTATATCACATGGTTAGGAAGTGGTGAGTTACTGAGGTTTCTCTCTTATCCCCCTTTCCCTCTTGTCCCATCAAAGTTCCCAGGCCCTGAGCCAGGGGCAGCCCATACTCCTCACCTCAGCCATATATTCCAGCAGACTGACGTGGATGGAGACCAGCCCCGAGAAGCTCTCATCGGGGAAACGGAGGCCCTCCACGAAAAACAGCAGCTCTGCTGAGCCACCTGTGTACTTGACCACGTGGTAGAGCTTCTGCCGGCCCAGAATGTGGATATAGCGCTGGCCAAAGAAGGGGTCTGTGGATGGGGTGGGGGGAGGACCAGTGTGAGGCTCTACTCCCACAGGAGGAGGCCAGTGGCATCTCTGATGGGGACAAGGGGCAGAGTGACTTGGCCTTTAGACAGAGAAAAGCACAAGCAGAAAATGCCTCCAGGATGACTGTGACTAGGTCATTGTCATTGGCTCAGCACCGCTGTGTACCAGCTGGCTTCTGGCCCCTCATCTGTAAAATGAGCTGAGTTGTAGATGGCAAGTAGGAAATTAGAGTGGCTGGGAATGGCACAGCTAGTGATGTAATAGAAGTTGTTCCCATTTCACAGAGGAGGAAACTGCGTCCTCAGAGAGGATGAGCAAGGCCTCCAATTTGTGTCTCATTTTGCATCTCCAATTTACATCTTTTTTTTTTTTTGGTCTTTTTGAGACAGGGTCTCCCTGTAGCCCCAGCTGACCTAGAACTTGCTATGTAGACCAGGCTGGCCTCGAACTCACGGAGATCTGCCTGCCTCTGCCTCCTGAGTGCTGGGATTAAAGGCGTGCGCCACCACGCCCAGCCTATATCTCCTTTTTACACATAAAACACAAGTGTGTTCATAGAGGAGAGGCTCATGGACAATTTCAGGGCTGGCTTAGAGCCCATGAATTGAGTTAGTTTGGCCAGCATGGGCAAAGTCCTTCAGGAAGCCAAATGGCCAGGGTGTGGCCTCTGTGTGTAAGAGCACTGCTCAGCCAATGATAAGACAGCGGATGTTGGAAGGATCTAACGGCAGTGATGTGGTAGAGATCTTGTCTGTTATGCACGGTGAGGAAGGCAGGAAGATGGGGAGGCGTTGAGCAGAGGGAAGCGGCTTTGAGATGCCCTTGTGGGGTGGCAGGGTGGTTGAGGGATGTGGAGGGGAGGAGGTACTTGCATTCGCAAAGACATGGAGGTAGGACCCTACGCAGCTCCAGAAGGAGTTTCTTTATACTGTGTAGAGCTAGAAGGGCAGATCAGGCTCAGCTTAGTGTTTTCAACAACAATGACATGAGTTAATAGACAGTTGCACTAGAGTTAGAACATGGAACAGTACTACTCTTGACATACAGGGTCAGGATCTATGAAGTGAGGGGGCCACACCTCGAAGTCCAGTCTTGGGATAGCTTCTCCTGCAGCACAGTGTGTCCAACTATACCCTGGTTATGAATGTTATCACAGGCAGGTGACCTTAATGGTCATGACTTCCAAAGTCAGAGGGACTTTGGGTCAGGTGCTGCCCTGACTTTACAAGCTGCAAAGCCTCTGGGAATTCAGTTACCTCTCGTGGGTTACTCAACTGCCAACGGGGGGGAGGGCGTCCCTGTGTCACAGGGTGTGTCACAGGGTCACTGTGGATGACACAGCATCCAACAGCTTCAGTGACCTTGGAAGCATGGGTAACCATGGTAATACATCCTGTGGGTACCAGGAGAAGGTGAAGCTGGGGGTGGGGAATGTGTCCCTTCCTTGCCTCCCAGCAGCTCCAGACAGAAGGCTCAGGCTCCTGTAGGTGGGACCAAACACTGAGGTGGGCAGATGCTTACCCTGAAGGCCCCAAGCACCTTGTTACAGCCCAGAACTGAAGGTGATGCCCTGCTCAGTCAGGGCATGTGCTGTAGGGCCCAGTCTCTGCTCAGACCCAGCTGGATCCATATGTGCTGACTAACCCTACCCACCCACAACACCTGCATGCTCCAAGTTGCACTTTAGCCTTGCTCAAGCCTAGGAGCAACCTTGGCTTTGCAGAAGTGGCAGGTGTAACTTTTTATCAGGCTCACCGGACCTGGGGAGAGCAGTGTGACCAGGAGAGGTGAGTCAGGTTCTGTCCATCTGTCAGTGGCTTTCTCCTCATGTGGCCTGCGCCCTGTGAGTCACAATGTGTCTCTTTCTGGCAGTTTGGACCAGTGCCAGGCAGATTGAATCTCATGTGGGAACAATCCAGACCTTGTTCCTAGCAGCCTACGTCCCCATTCACTGCCCATAACTTGGTACAGTTCTGGCCATCCCCTGAATGGCTGGCTATCCTTGTAGGCACCAACAATGCCCTTCTGTTGAGTGGCCCCTGTGCCTCAGACTGGGTCTGCCTGTCACCTTGACCTCTCTTGCGCCTCAGCTGTCCGCCCCAGCTGGCCAGCACGTGGTCTAGTTTGGCACAACCTCTCTAGTCCTTTTGGAAGGATTCCACTTCTTGGGGAGACTGATGGTGAGACTGAATGTCTTGGTCTGCCTGCGACGGAGGGCTATTCTGTCATGATAGACTTTCAGAGTCAAATCCAGGGAAGTCCTGGAGAAACAGGGACTGTGTCCTCATAGGAAGAGGTAAGGCTCCAACTCTTGGGAGTTCTGGGGAAACCTGAGACGGGAGCCCATGTGTTTCTAGGCGTGCTGGAAAATTCTGTTCACCCAATCATATTTTATTTTTTTTATGTGTTTTGTTAGCATGTGCGTAAGTGTACCACATGTACATGCAGTGTCCACGGAGGCCAGAAGAGGGAGTTGGATTCCCTGGAACTGAAGTTACAGACTGTTGTTAGCTGCCATGTGGCTGCTGGGAACTTAACCTGGGTCCTCTGTAAGAGCAACCAGTGCTTTTAACCACTGAGCCATCTCTCCAGCCCTGTTCACCCCAATACTATAATCTGGATAATACTTCCAGCCAAAGCAATAGCTGACATTTCTGTGGGCTACTGCAGAGGGCCTGACCCTTTATTCCATCTGTTACTCCCATGTCACATCATAGAGGAGGCCTGCAGACCCCTGGCTCCAGAGCTGCCCTCAGAGCTCCAAGGGCCCAGCTCCTGATCTTTCGAGGAACTGGACTGCCTCTGCCAGGACACAGGTAGCCCCCTGAAATTCATGTGATGTGACACACCCTCACCCACAGGGTGTTCAGAGTTTAACAAAACTTCCAAAATGACTGCTTGGAACAAAAGGGATGTGGACCACAGATACGGGTCTATGTTCTCTTTTGCTGGCCTGGCTCAGAGTGTTCATCTGGTGGGGAGGTTAGTATTGATTGTCCAGACCTTGGGAAGGGAGCATCAATGAGGGGTTGTCTAGATTTCCCAGGCTGGGCTGTGGGCATGTATGTAAGGGATTTTCTTAATTGGGTTAATTGATTTGGGAAGAGCCACGCTGGAAGTAGGTGATGCCATTTCATGGGTTGGGGTCCCAAATGAATGAAAGGGAGGTGGGGGGAGAGGGTGAGAGAGAGCTGTGCTGCAGGACACAATCCTTGCTCTCTGATCCTGATTATGGATGTGATGTGATCAGCTCCCTTGAGCCCCTGTCACTGTGGCTTGGAACCTGGAACTCTGAGCTAAAACAAACCCTTTCTGTAAGTTGCTTTTGTGGGCATTTTGTCACAGCAATGGGAAATGAAACTAAGATACCCAGAATCCCCATCTAGGGGAGAAATGACTAGTGTGTTGGTTCCTGACCCAGCAGTGACTTTGCCTGCAGGACCGTGGCCCACCTAAGACAGTCTCAAGGGGAGCATTCTCCAGGCCTTTGCAATGGGAGTTCTTTCTTGCCTGCTCAGGACTGGTTTCAGATGGCAAGTTGGGGGGAGAGGTAGGAATGGAGCCAGGCCGGGTACACTCTGGTTAGCAGAGCAAAGAATCATCCAGAGAACGACCAGATGTCACCATTAGCCACAGGCCTCAGTCAGTGCCAAGGCTGAGTCAAAGCCCAGGCTGGTTTTTCCTGCTTCCCTCCTGCCCCGTGGCAACTCTGGCTCGGATCTTGTAAACATTAACTTCTGGGCTCCCTGGGGTGGTGGAGCCGGCCTGACTCGGGGACATTCCAACCTGCCCAGGGTAGATCAGAAGAGGGCTGGCATTGAGTGGCTGTTGTCCACTGGTGGCCTGGGTAAGTCACTCCTTGAAGTGAGCCCCCCCGCCCCCAGTGACTGCCCTTGTCCTAGTGGGTCTACCCAGAGTGAGACCCAAGGCTCTGGCCTCCAGATAGCCTGTCCCACAACACCATGTAAACTTCAAGGCTGTTTTACAGAGGAAGCTTGTAAATTTAAATATTTTATTATTTTAATTTTATGTGTATAAGTGTACTGCCTGCATGTATGTTTGTGCACCCATGTCATACAGTGCTTTACAATGCCGGGGTAGATCAGAGGAGGGTGTCTGAGCCCCTGGAACTAGAGTTAGGAATGGTTGTTGGCCACCATGTGGGTGCTGGGAATTGAATCTGGGTCCTCTGCAAGAATAGCCAGTGCTTTTAACCCCTGAGTCATCTCTCTAGTCCCAGGAGTTTATAAATTTAGATAGAAGATCTTACAGTAGTCCCTTGCTCAAAACCCTCAAGGGGCTGGGGATGTGGCTCAGTTGGTAAAGTGCTTGCGTAGCATGTACCAGGCCCTGAGTTTGATTCCCCAGAATCATAAAAATGGGACCTAGTGGGGCATGCCTGTCATCCCAGAACTTGGGGTGTGGGAAGGAAGCCCAGAAGTTCAAGGTCACTTTCCTTCTCCTACTTAGGGAGTCAGAGATCAGTCTGGGCTCCACGAGACCCTGTCTCAACAAACAATCAAAAACAAAATCCTTCAGGTCTCTCTTCACCGCACTTAGAATACAACGCAAGCCCTGTCTGCACTCTGGCCCTGCCTAGCTGACTGACCTTGACCCTGCATGTTTGCCTACCCTGGGCTTTCTCCTCCCACAAAGTTCTGAACCAGCCCATCTTCCGTGCTTGGCATACTCTGTGCCCTCCACTTGGCACACTCCTCCCCAGCTCCTGACGCCAGCTCCTTCTCCTTGTCCCTTTGAGTCTCAACTCTGTCACTTCCCAGAGAGGCTTCCTTGGACCCCAAGCCAGCCTCTGGGCTGATATTCTCTGGGACATGACCTATTTCATTTCCCCCCATATATCTCCTTTTCTCGTGGGGCAGCTCCTCTGGGAAGGATGTTGTGAGGGCACTGTCATGTTTACTACATGGGCACTGGGGTGGTTCAATGGCACAGGCAGATTTGAGGACCAGCTCCATGGTAGAGTGTATTTCCTACATAGTGGGGTCCCCAGACACCTTGTCACCATCAGGAGGAAGAAGGACACCCACAGAACCTCCAGGAACCTTGAAAGTCAGAGATGTCAGACACTACCTGGAGGAGGTGCCCCTTGGCCTCAGGCATCATGAAGGCGTCAGTACCCTGATCTCAAAGGCCTTTTCTCCCCTGGTGACTGGGAAGCAAGATGTGGACCCGAGCCACTGCACCTCCTTGGGTATCTATCTATGGGATACTCCATGGGTTCCACAGCCCCTGGCACCTGCTCAGAAGGAAAGATGGTATCTGCAAGGGCAGAGTGGGGTTTACTCACTCTCCACGTAGAATACGCCCACTTTGTCTGAGTCCGACATGGAAATGTAGAGGACCATTTCATACCCGGCGGGCAGGCGGTCAGGACCCTTGGTCCGAAGGATCATCTGGGACATGTCCTTGAGGTCTGCAGGAAGATGCAGAAGGTCAGCACCAGGGACCTGCAGGAGCTGGTTTCACTTTTGCTCTTTACTCTTCAAATCAGGACAAGGACCCCACCCCCACTCCCTGCATGCATTATGGGATCTATAGAAAAAGCTGCTTGCCATTTCCGACACTGATGAGGACTGATCGACCCTTTGGGAATTTCCTTCCAGTTTTTTTTCTTGATTTTTATAATTTTTTAAAAATTATTTCTTTTTATTTTATGTGTATGAGTGTTAGTGCCTGTATGTGTGTAAGTGCACCCGTGTCATGCAGTGCCCACAGAGGACAGAAGAGGCATCGGATCCCCTGGAACTGGAGTTATGGACAGTTGTTAGTCACCATGTGGCTGCTGGGATTAGAACCAGTGTCTTCTGCAAGAATAGCCAGTGCTCTTAACCGCTGAGCCATCTCTCCAGCCCCCATTATAATTTTTTTACATTTATTTATTTGACTGTGTGTGTATGTGCACAGGTGACTGCATGTGCCCCAAGATTCCTGTGGAAGTCAGAGGACAACTTGAGGAAGCTAGTTCTCTCCTTCCACCACAAGGGTCCTGGGGATTGAACTCAGGTCATCAGGCTTGACAGCAAAGGCCCTTCCCCACTGAGCCATCTCGCCGGTCCCTCCAGTCTTTTCCCCATCTGTGTATGTAAAGATGCCATTGAACAGTATTTATAGTTTTTTGTTGTTGTTATTGGTTTTTGAGACAGAATCTCCTTGTAGCCCCAGCTGGCCTGGAACTTGCTACATAGACCAGGCTGGCCTTGATCTCACAGAGATCCATCTGCCTCTGAGTGCTGAGATTAAAGGCATGTGCCACCATGCCCAGCTGTATTTGCAGTTTTGAATGCCAGATGTTGGGCCTGGCATCTCCCGAAGGCCCAAGTCTACTCCTGCCTCACCCTCTGCCCTGCCCAGGACAGGATACCCGTGTTCCCAGTGTCCCCCAGTGCAGCCCTGCTGGCACCTTGCTTGCTGTAGACCTTCTCATCACTGCAGTCCTCCTTAGGCAACCAGGGTGTGTCTCGGTCACAGTTCACCAGCAGGATGGCCCCCTGGCCCTCAGGACCCCAGGTCCAGGATGCCTATGACAGCAAGGAGACAGGTCAGCACCCTTCCTGGCCGCACCCCAGTACAACCCCTGGGGGGACACCTGAGAGACAGCGCAGGCATGACTTCCAAGTCTAATGCCCAGAAAGGACCCATGGGAGCATCCAAGTTCATGAGAGAGAAAAGAAGGCTGAGCAGAGCCTGTGGGCCTCAGCTCTGTTGTGAGGTGGCCATGCCAGGCAGCAGTGGTGGCAGGAACACACATTCCAAGACAGGCTTGAGGGAACTATTTCCAGACACGTTCTGAGTGCTCCCAAGGGGGCCGGCACCATGTCTGCTTTCTACCCTGTAGTCACAGTACCATGCAAGCTGACTCCAACCGGATTACATTGCTTCCCTGTTTGAAGCCCTCTGTGTGGACTCAGATAAAGCCTGGATTCTCTGTTCCTCCCTGTGGTCTGCAAGGCCAGAGACTTGCAAGGATCTGCTGACTCCGTATCTGGAGTCTCCTCCACCTTGCCCCTACCTGCTCTGTTCCACCCACATGAAGGCACTTCTGCTCCCCGGAAGCCCCCAGGCCTTTGCCAGACTGGTCCCTCTTTTCCTGACCAACTCCATTGCTCCTCCAGGACTCGGGGCACCCACACCTCCTTATAGGAAAGTTTCCTATTCTGCAGAGCGGTGTTCCTGGTTCCTTGCATGGTCCTGCCTAACACACCCTTTGAGGAGCTCAGAGGACAGTGGTTACAAATGTAGTCACCCACATTGTTCTTCCTTAAACCTTTACTTGCTGCTGGACTTTGGGGTCCTCAAGGGCAGGGTCTGGGTTTCTGTTGTTCCCTGGGCCTGACCTAGTCTTAGAACATACAAGATATATATATATATAATTTTTTTTTGTCTTTTTTGAGACAGGGTCTCCTTATAGCTCCAGCTGTCCTGAAACTTGCTATGTAGACCAGGTTGGCCTCGAACTCACAAAGATCCGCCTGCCTCTGCCTCCCGAGTGCTGGGATTAAAGGCATGCGCCACCACGCCTGGCCGGCCCTATGATTTTTAAAATGAAACAGGAGGCACAAAGGGAACAAATTTCTCCCCTGGGCATCCTCTGCCTCAGGCACAGTGAGTCTTCCAACAGCTTTGTGAACCAGGCTGGGGAAACAGAGCCTGGGAATGGCTGATCCTATAGGGAGCCTGGCTTGCTGGTGGCCTGTCCCTGCTGTGCTGCATCTACAGCTTGCTTCAAGCCTTGGCCTCCTGCCCTGTGACTTGTAGCTTGGTGGGAGGCTCTGGCTGCCTGCACCAAGCGGCCGCTGCTCTGCCCTAGAAGCCTCTGGGTCAGGGTCACGGCTAGGGTGGTGTCCACCTGCATGGCCAGCTACCTTCTTTGGGTTGTTCTTTTCCACTTCGCCATCCCGGTCTGCATCCACATCCAGGGAGATCTCTGGAGACAAGAGACAAGGGTGAGTTGCTGATCTCATGCAGACGGAAGGGCCTAGTGGGAAAAGACCCAGCTCCCCAATTCCTTTGGTTGTGGGAAAGGGAGGGGCTTGCAGAGGTGGTCATCTCTTCTTACCACCTACGCAGAACCTCAGAGGACACCTACAGTTCCAGATGTGGGCACATGACAGCAATCCCATTCTTCTCTGTCCTGGGCAGTGATAGGAGCCTCAGGTCACATACCCAAGGTCACAAGATGGCCTTAACAGAATTGGGGACTTGATATTTTCAAACTGCCCCTCCTGACTTGTCTCAGGAGCATCTATGCACACATAGGCATCTCTCTTTTATTTTAATTCTCTCTCTTTCTCTGTCATTCAGACAGGATCTCACTATGTAGCCCAGGCTGGCCTGAAACTTGCTATTTGGCCCAGGCTGTCCTTGAACTCCTGATTCCCCTGCCTCAGTCTCTGGAGTGTGGGTGTTACAGGCTTGTACCATTTTGCCTGCCCATTCTTTCCTGGCTTTAGCTCTCAGTAGTCTAGACCCCACCTCCAGGGACTGAGGGTCTTCCTGTGGGTAAGAAATCATGTCTTCAGCCCCTCTCCATCCAAGGGAGCTTATAATACCAGCTCCCTGATAGAAGATCCAGGGCAGAGTCCTGCTGATCCCTTCTCTTGGGGAAGGGACCTTCAGCCTCCCTGAGCCCCTCATGGAGACAGGCTATGTAGATAGCCTGTTGGGAAGAGCAATGTTTCGGCACCTGACAGTGTCAGAACTCTCGTTCTCTGCTTCTGAGCTGTGTGTGTGACTTTGGGCTGGTTGCACAACCTCTCTCAGCCCCTCACTTGTAGCCCGGGGCCCTTTCTGGTTATAGTAGCTGTACAGGCTGTGATAGGCACTACTGACAGGAGGGCCGTGAAGTCCTAGAAGAGGCACCTTCTGGTCTCCCATTCTCTTGGGCCTGACTTGAACGCCACACTACAAGGCATAAGGGTAGCTGCTTGAAGTCCCACTGAGGGTGTTTGTGCCAGATACCCCTGTGCAGTACCTGCTGTGGCTCAGTACTAGAGCACTGGCTAAGGGACAAACACCAGGTGTCTCCAGGAGTCTACAGCCCTGGGAGAGAAACATCATCACACTCATTTCACAGAGGAGCAAACTCGGGCTCAGAGGAACTACTTACCAGCCACCGTGTGGCTCCTGAGTGAGGCTAGGGCTGGGGGAGGATTCCAGGGACAAGGGAGACCTTCTAACAGCTGCCAGGGAGGCCGAGGTGTAAATGCATGGACAATGTTGACTTTGGCTCCCAGACCTGCACCAGACCTGCCACGCCCCCTCCACATGCATCACATCTGCCAGCTACTGAGGACTTTCCACAGTACCTTCTGTTTGCTTCAGAGAGGAGAGGAGACGTGTCACCCACACCCGCCACACAAACCAAGACTCTGAGTCCACCCAACAGGAAGTGTCATCTACACACACCCATGTTCTCCAAGTACAGAGTGTGTTTCCCACAGGGGCCTCTGACTCCAGACCTTCCTTCAGTGCTGTTCCCTCTACTGATCCAGGCTGACCTCTGTCTGACCCAGGCTGCCTTCCTACCTGGACAAGTTTACCTTTAAAGACCCAACACTTGTTCCTCTGAAGGTCACTGCCAGAGGAGGTGGCCACATCCTCCCTGGGCCAGGCCTGCGGCTTCATTTCTAACCACAGGAGCACTGTAGTGTACTCCCCATGCAGCGGGTCCTAGGCTGCTTTACTCCAGGATTTTTCTTTTCTTTGTCCTCCTCTCTCCAATTTTCTTTTGTTCTTTCTTTCTTTTGAGCCAGGGTCTAGCTATGTAGCCCAGGTTGGCCTTGAACTCCTGCCCCAACCTCCTAGGGATTTCAGGTGTGCGCCACCAGACCCAATTGAATCTCTAACTTAAAATTTATTTTGGTGAGTTTGTTTTGTTTGTCTGTTTTGGCTTTTTGAAACAGGATCTCACTCTGTAGCCCTGACCAACCTGGAACTTGCTAAGTAGACCAGGCTGGCCTCACACCCACAGAGATCTGCCTGCCTCTGCCTCCTGAGTCCTGGGACTTCAAGGCATGTGCAACCATGTCTGGCTCACGTTTTTTAAAATTACATTTATTTATTTATTTATTTATTTATTTATTTATTTATTTTGTGTGTGCACACACATGTATAGAAGTCAGAAGACAACTTATAGAAATCAGTTCTCTCCTTTCACCGTATGGGTTTCAGGGATCGAACTCAGATCATCAGGCTTGGCAGCAAGCACCTTTACCTGCTGAGCCATCTCACTCACCCCCTTGAGCCCAGGGGGCTCACATATGCTAGGCAGGCACTTTACCACTGAACTGTACCCCTGGACTTAACATTTTTTATTAATGTAATGCTTACACATAGCACAAAAACATCAAATCAAACAGCACCAAACTGTTTCCAAAGATGCAGCAATCCCTGCCCCTCCCGTCTCCTCACCTCCCTAACCCACATCACGCCCCTCTTGCTGCTTCCTGATTTATTACTTTCTAACGGCGCCCACCGCCCTGCTTCATGTTATGAAATCTGGGCTTTCACAGTTTTGCTTTTGACCACCTCCTCCCCATCTGTCACAGCACTTCTCAACTCTCTTAGGACCTGCAACTGTCCCCACTGTCAACTAATGGCCTCCTCTGCCCTCCAGCCTACTCTGGGGACCCCTTAAGCTATCAGCTGTCCCCTGGGCCTTCTCTCCAGATCTAATGGGATGTCTGTAAGTCATGAGAGAGGCTGGCACAGCCTGTCTGAGCTCTGTTCTCCCCAGGGGAGGGGAACACACCTGTTTCAGAGCCTCTGGGCTCCAGGCATTTCCCAGAGTCTCTGAGTCCTGCCTCAGCTCCCCGGAATAGCCCCAAGGTATCAGGTGGCACCGGGGTGTGGGGCATATTAATGGGAAATGTCATTAGGATTGGGTTCGAGGCGGTTGCCCTGTGCATTTTGGTGGGTGGCCAGCCCTGCAGGGTGTCAGCCTGGCCTTCTGACCTTACCCAGAAGCTAGGGATTCAGTGGGAGGAAGGACTCTGGGCTCTGGGGACCAGGCACAGGAACGAGAGCTTACAGTGGATGCAGAGAGTGCCCAGGTCTGGGTGACACTTGGGGTGTAGAATGTTCACTCAAGTCGATGAGAAAGAAAAGTGTCCAGGCTCTATCCCGCTCCCACCATCAGGACCTCAGTCCACAGCAGGGCAGACAGTTGCTGCCTACGTACTCCCCCCTCCTCTGAAAAGCCCTAATTAAAGTCCCAAAGGTTCTTAGAGATGAACTCAAACCCCTCACTCTACAGCTGGGACACAGCGAGGCCCAGAGAGGGTGGTGTACTTGTCAGGATCACACAGCACGTTTTTGCAGGACTAGGACAGAGCTCCAAGGCCTGATCTGGACAAGAGTTCCATAGGTTTGTTTTGTACCCCAGGATGCAGACTGCAAATGACAAGTTTCTCCCCATCCCTCCAGGCAGAGTGACATGGCTTACTGGGAGGAAGGGGAAAGGGAGCACCCTCTCAGTACCTGCTGTGCCCTGCCCTTGGCACAGGTCCTTTGCACACACCACCTCACTAACTCTTTAGGGGTACTGTCCAAGAATGCTCTGTGAAGCTCCCTTTGCAGGCGAGGAAACTGAGGCTGGTGGTCATGGAACTTGCCTATGATCACCATGAGGCTGCGGGAGGCAGAGCCTGAGCTTGTTTCTGTCTGTCCTAAGGCCAAGGCTCTTTCTGCCCAAAGTAGGCTTGGGCCAGTCCTTTAGGACAGACACAGATGTGCTTCTTTGGGGGCCAAGCCCACTGTCCAGGGACATTCAGGGTAGCCCTGCCTTTGAGGTACTGCACCTAAGGGGTCACTGGGCCCTTGTCAGCAGGCCCTACTAAACTCCCTGCTTTTATTTTATTTTTAACTAACTCATTTTTTAACAATTTTTTGATTTATTTGTTTTATGTGTATGAGTGTTTTGCCTGCATGTATGTAGTGCATCTATCTCATGCAAAACCCTAAGAAGAGGACATCGGAGCCCCTGGGACTGGTATTATGGACGGTTGTTAGTCAGCATGTGAGTGCTGGGAATCGAACCTAGGTTCTCTGCAAGAGCAGCCAGTGCTCTTAACCACTGAGCCAACTTTCCAGCCCCTAATTAATTAATTATTTTAATTTTTAAATTAAAAATTTTTTTTGATCTTTTTGAGACAAGGTCTCCTGTAGCCCCAGCTGACCTGGAACTCACTATATAGACCAGGCTGGCCTTGAACTCACAGAGATCTGCCTACCTCTGCCTCCCAAGTGCTAGGACTAAAGCGGTAACCACCATGCCCAGCTTAATAAATTTATTTTTGAGACAGGGTCTCACTATGTATTCTTTGCTGGACTAGAACTTGCTATGTAGTCTAGGGCAGACTTGAACTCACAGTGATCCGCCTGCCTCTGCCTCTAGAGTGCTGGGATTAATAAGGTGTGCAGTACCACACCCAGCCCTGTCTACTTTTAAAGCATTATTATTATTTTGCTTTTTTTAGATAGGGTCTCACTATATATCCCTGGTTGGCCTAGAACTTGCTATGTAGACCAGGCTGGCTTCAAACTCACAAATATGTCTGCCACTGTCACCCGAGTGCTGGGATTTAAGGTGTGTACCACTATACCCAGTCTCTTAATTTTGTTTTTTTGAGAAAAAGTCTCATGTAGCCCAGGCCAGCCTTGAACTTCTGATCCTTCTGATCCACCACCCGAGTATTGGGATTATAGGCATATGCCACCACACCAGACCCTGCCTGCTTTAAGTTTACTACTACTACTACTACTACTACTACTACTACTACTACTACTACTATTACATACTGTGTGTGGTGTGTAGAGGTCAGAGGACAACTTGTGGGAGTCGGTTCTATTCTACCATGGGTTCTGGGGTTCAGGTGCTCAGTTTCTGTGGCATCTGTCTTACACACTGAGCCATCTCACTCACCCCTACCTGTTTTTTTAAAATTAATTTTAAAATTTATGAGTATTTTGCCTGCATGTATGTAAGTGCACCCATGTCCTGCAAAGCTCACAGAAGTCAGAAGAGGGTGTCGGATCTCAAACTGGAGTTATGGACGGTTAACCACTGAGCCATCTCTCCAGCCCCAACCCCTTCCTGCTTTTAAGAGTTAACATGATGGTGGTAGTTGAGGGCAAACTTCTAATGTGGGTTCCCCTCGTGTATCTATGCTGTCACCCTCATTGTCTTCGGGAAGCTGGGGGATGTTTCATTGCCCCACGAGCCTTCAGCATCTGGACCTTGGCACAGTCAGGTGTCTTGTCCTGGGGGAAGGAGGCTCCAGTAGTGGGGGATGGGCAGCCTCTTTGCCCTGGACATTTAGGTGTCCTCAGGAGCCCCCTGAGCTCAGCCTTGGTCTTCAGACCCATCTCTTTCATCTGCTATCTCTCCTATCTGTCTCCCTCCACTGTACCTCCCAAGGGCACAGCCAGCCTGGGTCACCTTCTTTGACAGGTCTCTGGCCTCTGCCTCCCCTGCCTTCGTCCTCAGGTGTCCCTGGCTGTGGGGTTAGGTTTCCTGGGGACGGTCATCTGAGACAGGCAGGGGCTGTGTTGGCATGCACGGCTCAGTCACGTGCCAGGGCTTGGCAAGCTGAGGAGTCAGGATACCATCTCTGGAGGCCCCTCAAGGTTATTCTGAGTGAGCCCCCCCCGTCATCCTGAGTCCTTCACCCGTGGGCTGGGTATCCCTGATATAGACGGAGGAGATTGGGTGACCAGTACTCAGGCCCTTGTGGGTATGAGCTGAAAAGTGAGAGATCACTGTAAATGAGAATCCTTCAGGGCTCATGGGAGACTGGAGGAGGAGGGAGGGGTGAGCAGGGAGCTAGCAGTTTGTAGGGGAAGTGTCTTACTTGACACTTCCCCTACAGAGAAAGTAAGGTAATTGATGTGACTTGGTGTCCCACCAACCATTTCTAAGTGTAGCCCAGGAACCTTGTTTTGCCTTTTCTGAGCCTCAGTTTTCCCATGTGCAGAATGGGCACAGTACTAGCCTTTCTCCTCAGAATAGCTATAAGGACGGGTAGACATCTAAGTTTGGAGCCTGGCATACTATTGGTGCTCCATAATGTGTTTATCTGCCTTCTGTTCCTCTTTCGTTTCCTCCTCCTCACAGCACCCAGCTCAGTGTTCAGTGAGTGGGTGGCACTGTTAGGACTTTACAAATCTCTGGTAGTTTCTGTACATGTTAAACCAAGGCTGGATGGATAAAACAACGCTCTGAATTCCTTCTAGCTTGAATACACTAAAATAAAAGAACATAAAATAAGATATTGGCCAGGCATGATGGTGCACGCCTTTAATTCCAGCACTGGGAGGCAGAGGCAGGTAGATCTCTATGAGCTCAAGGCCAGCCTGGTCTCCATGGTGAATCCAGGACAGCTGGGGCTACAGGAAGACCCTGTCTCAAAAAGACCAAAAAAAAAAAAAAAAAAAAAAGAAGATATTGCCTTGTCTGTTGCAGGGTCTGAGGACTTAAAGGATCACATCCCTGGGCCCTGCTTAGCCGACTGTGTCCCTGGCCCGAGGGCAGGGCTGTTGGGGAAAGAGCTGAGGGAATCACCCAAGTTTGGGATTCAACCTGCCACACCATTGCTGTGTGACTGTGAATGAATGTCCTAACCTCTCTGGACCTTAGCATCCTTTGTGGATCAAATGAAGAGTTTGGACTGGGTGAGTTAAGGACCCAGGGCTCTATCTCTGTTCCCAGGACTCGGGGTGGGAGAGCAGGAGGGTGGCTAGGACTCTCAGGGACAGTAGAAGTCTCCCAGCGGCTGGGGAGAGGCGGGGTTGGGAGAGACACAGATTTTTCTCTTTTTCCTTGTAGCCCACAGAGCCTATGAAGGGGCCCCTAGGGCAAGCCTCCTCTGTACGTAGTCCCCCACCCAGAACAGAAATCCCAGGACACACATGCACCACACCCCTCCATGGCTGGCACTGTTTGGATCCAGTTCTGCCATGCTGCCCAGAGCACTCTTCCAGGCCCCCTGGGGTGAAGGTGCCTAGTGTGAAGGAATCCTGACCCCAGCTGCACTAACTCACCAATGGCCGTGAGGAAGAGCCCAGCCTGGTCGATGGGGGCGTTCCCTTCCTCATCATAGTAGTTGACGGTGACCTTGGTTGGGAGGAGCACATGGAGTCGGGAAAAGAGAAGGGCAGAGGTTACAGATCATAGAGAAGGAGACCACGAGTAACCCCCTACCTCAAAGGCCATCAGCTCCTTTCTAAACATGGCCTCCTCCTCCAGGAAGCACTCCCAGATAATCCAACCAGTCAGGGGACTCCTCTCCCTCTCTTTCAGTGTACCCCACTGCCTCCAGGGTCTTGTGCCCACTACACTGTGTGCCCACCTCCTGTTAAAAACCCAGGACAGGGCTGACTTCATTCCTTTGGCCGGCATCTGATGCAGTCACTGTAACAGGTCTATGGTGATGCTCTTGAGAGAATTCAGAGGGGGGACCCTCTGGCTTTGGCTATGTCAACTGGGCAAATCGCTTCACCCTTTGGGTGCTCAGCAATCCCCTTTATAGACAGTGAGGTCTGGGTTGCTGCTAATGTCACCTCCAACCATTCACTCTATGGGTCTGAGAAGCTAGTTTTTCTTATTTATTTATTTTAAAGATTTTTATTTTCTTTTATTATTTTAAAAATATTTTATTATTTTTATTTTACGTGTATGAGTGTATCTCCTGCATGTATGTGAGTGCACTTGTGTCGTGCGGTGCCTCAGAGGTCAGAAGAGGGCTTTGGATTCCCCTGGAACTGGAATTAAGGATGGTTTGTAGCTGCCATGTGGGTGCTGGGAATCAAACCCAGGTCCTCTGCAAGAGCAGTCAGTGCTCCTAACCACTGAGCCATCTCTCCAGCCCTGGTGCTGGGATGGGAATCAAACTCTGGTCCTCTGCAAGAGCAGTCAGTGCTCTTAACCGCTGAGTCATTTCTTCAGCCCCATTTATATGTATGAGTGATTTGCTTGCATGTAGGTATGTGCACTGTATGCATGCAGTGCCTGTGGGGGCCAAAAGAGGGCATCAGATCCCCTGGAACTGGAGTTACCGACAGTTGTGAGCCACTGTGTATGTGTGTGTGTGTGTGTGTGTGTGTGTGTATGTGTGTTCTGGGAACTGAACCTGGGTCCCTGCAAGAGCAACAAGTGCTCTCTAGCACCACTAATCTTTATTTTTTCAAATATTGTTTATTATTTTTATATGTATGAGTGTAATGCCTGCATGTATGTAAGTGCACCCATGTTGTTCAATGCCTGTAGAGGTCAAAAGAGGGCATCAGATATTCCTGGAACTGGAGTTACAGATGGTTGTTAGCCACCATGTGGGTGCTGGGAATCAAACCTGGGTCCTCTGCAAGAGCAGCCAGTACTTTTAACTGCTGAGCTATCTCTTCAGCCCCAATTATTCTTTTTAAATAAGACTCATTATTTGTCTCAGGCTAGCCTCAA